CCTCCCTCCTCTCTCTCTCTCTCTCTCTCTCTCTCTCTCTCACACACACACACACACACACGCACACACACCCCTATCTCTCTTTCCTCTAATCTCTCTCTATTTCTCCTCCTCCTTCCAGCAGTGGCTGTTTAGAGTAGAAGTACATCAAATATCTTTCAACTTGGTATTAGAGCAAGGTTAGATTGAAGAAGTGAGAGTTGGGTGGTAAAATACAGGCCAATAACTATTGCTTTCAGCAATATGTCCGGACAATGGAAATTCAGTAAAGAATAAATCCTTAAAAGGCTACTTTATGAAGATCATGGTGAAGTGGTTGTTGAAAGAAGTGTTATTTTTTGGGGCGAAAAAGTGTTATTTTCAAGGGTTCATTCTTAGATCTGATTTCTTCGGTGAAAAGTACACATTTTTTAGGGTTCCACCCAACAAGAGAAAAAGGGGAAAATTAGAGTTTTTTCATGAACCATTGATTAGGTTTTTCCTTATGAAAAGCCTGATGTTTGATGTGGATCAAATAGCATTACAGTTATGGTACATTTGAAATTGGTGGCTATAAGTGTAAAATTGATTGGCTCATGCACTTTGTGGTGCTTTTTGTGCTCATGATGAAAAGTGTTTAGAAAGAAATCTGTGGGTGTATCCAGATTTCAACAACACTATGATTTGTTTTTCTTGTGCCTTAATAAGGAACAACGTCACAATAAACATCAAGTATGGAATACTCTAGACACCAAATCACTACGGTTAAAATTTATGGTACAAACTATCTAGAATGAGCCCGATCTATTAGGTTATTTCTTGGAGGCAGGAAAAAAATCAGGTTATATTGACAGTCATATAGGGAAAACCTATGTAAAGAAGCGCTCTTATGCTATTGGGAAGCTGACGAGATAATTATTATGAATTAGATCTTGAACTATATATAACCAAATTTGAGACGCACATTTATGAATTATAATACTTCAAAGGAGGTATGGATGCAGCAGCTCAGGCCTATTCCCAAAAGGAGTAAACAGCAAAAATATAGTTGGAAGGTTTCTAGGATGAGCTGAATCACTACCAACCCATAGACTGCTCCCATTGGGAAAAAGAGCATAGAGAAAATTGACTGGAGACTACGAAATGAAATCACATAACATTCATTGATAACAAAATTCACTAGTCTTTTTTAGTTGGCTGTGGGAGTGGTTAGACACAAGTTTTCCAACACAATGACATCTACTCTGACACACACCTAATAAGGTTTTCTGTACTGAGCATAAACCGCAGACTACGAAATGAAATCGCATAACATTCACTGATAAGCAAATTGACTTGTTTATTTTAGTCGGTTGTGGGAGTGGTGAGACAAGTTTTCGAACACAATGATATCTACTATGTCACACATCTAATACGGTTTTCTGGGATGAGCATAAACCCAAACGAGAATTCGCTAGTCACATCAAATGCCTCCATATACAGTATTTGCCCTCATGATTCAATACGCTAAATTTCTTATTATGCTTCCATTTCCTCAAAGCAGAAGGCTTTAATTACATAAAAAGCTTCAGACTGAACAGATGTAGAATTTCCAAGATGTAACCAATACCAGTCATGTGTCGAACGGTCAGAATGACTTACTCTAACTTCTTAATAGATTCAATAGTGATCTCAGTTGATCCAAGAACTTTATCAATCTCTGCTTGGGCTTTCTTCATTTCTGAGGGATGCTACATTGAAGTAAACCAGATCTTATCAGTATAAAAGCAGCACCACAAGATACTATTCAGTAAGTCCGCCCTTCATTAGAGTAAACAAAATGAACATGAAAGTTATCCATAATAGATTCCAAGAAATATCATACAAAGGGTGCAATTGATTACATACTTGAGCAAGTAGAAAAACGGCCCATGTAAGAACTGCTGCTGTTGTTTCATGTCCAGCTATAAGCATAGTCATGAGATCATCTCTAAGCTGTTAACGAATATTTCAAGGAAAATACATTCAACATACTAATAATATCCCAGAAAAAAAAAGCTGAAAAGCAACGACAAAACAAGTTGAAAAGTGAAAACAAGGCTACACTTTATTTTGTGTGTGTTTCTTTTTAGGAATTGGCGACATTTTATAATTACATAGGAAATAGATTTACAAAAACCCATGAGATTCGTGCATGGGCATCCCACGGACCAGGTGCTCTAAAACTGTACAATCAAAAACTCGACTATCAAGATAAATAAAGGAAAGATTAGGGACGTAGTCTGGAGATGAAGAAAGAGGGGGGGAACAGCAGAGAGAGAATGTCGAGAGGGAGATGTAAAGTAGGAATGTGGAGTAAGGGGTAAAGAAGATTCCTTGGAGAGAGAGAAAGAGTGTAACAAAGCAAAGAGAGAGAGCAAAGCGGAGATGAAAAGAAAAAAGAAAGCAGACACAAAAAGAATACATGAAGGAAGGTCAAAGGAAAAAAGAAAGGAAGGCATTCCACAAACCGGGGCTCTATCCAAAAAACGGTTACAGGGTGGCTGTACTGAAGCATGTGCAAGTGTAGCCAGTTTTAGGCGATGTGTGTATTTTTCTTTTAAGAAGATCCAATGTATTACTATCTTTTCTTACCTGCTGATCATCAACATCCTCTCCCCTCATGTCAACAAAGAACCTGAGCAAACTTGCGTCCTGCGAAGATATCCAAAAAAAAGTCGCTATAGATTCATAGTATATCCTACATTAAAACTATTTGTCTATTTTCTGATACAACAATTTTGAAAATTGCAGAGAAGGCCACAGACCTTTAATGTTGAGTAATCTCTTTGTTGAAGTTTCTCAACATCAGTTTCCTACAATTATGCAAAAGAAACCAAGTTAAGGCATTCCAGAACATATATTATTCACTTCTGAGAATCTCATCTCAGAAGAAATCACTGCTTAAAGGATAGACCGATAGAGCACAATAACCTAAGATTTCTTCAAAACTAACTGACCACATCACCAATGAAATAATGCCTTACTCAACAATACTACATTCTTTCTTTCTCAGCCCAGAGAAACCTGTTCGCTTATCTGATGTAAACATTCATTATGCTTTTCCATACTAATCAAGATGACATAATACTATAGTATAAAAATCATGGTTGTTGGCGAAGGTGCTTTTATCCTGATTCTAGAACAAAGGAAAATTTAGCAATACCAAAGCAAAGGTATCCTATTCCAAACCACTCTTGGCACATATCAAATCATTGTTAACCCAACAACGATGTCTTGCCATGTTGGCTTCATTCAAGTGAGGAGTTTGAGAGATTCATTTCTTACTTATGAAGGACGATAGAAGTTAACTTCTCTGGAAATATGAGTGTTATATAAAGCATATTATGCGATTTGAAAACTCTCTAAATACAAAGGTTGCATCAACCAAATGTAAGCGAAACTGGTGGCAATTTAAAATTGAAATCACTAAAAGGAAATAACAAACAAACTGAAATATGAAAAGACTTCTATATGACAGAAGTTAGAGGCAAACTGTGGAAGAGCTCTCAGGAGCCAGAAAAGTTACATAGTGGCAAGACTTTGATGTTCTTATAAACAGGAGGTTGGGAATTTGAAGGACTTAAAACAACAAAAATTTGGATGATAGACAAAAACCAAAAATTTGGATGATAGACAAAAACCTCACTTCCAACTTATGTTACTGCCTACAATACATAGGTGGAGATTTTGTCTTCAACATTACCCTTTTAAACTCATTACTGATGATTTGCTGTTTTCCACCACCACATGCCTCTCTGTCTGCTCCAATTCTATTTATACATCCAAATATGTCCCCTTCAACAGAATTTCATGAATCATGAAAGAATGTTGTTAAGGATATAATAAATGATGTGCAAGGGCAAACATGTAAATAGGCATCCATATTTTGCCTTAGTTATTTTATGTTCATAAGACATAAGTGACATTTGCAATTGGCATAATTGTAATCGTACATTGTTTGTCTTGGACGATCCATCGTTCATGCACCCATTCTCCTCCTCTACTTGTGCATGTCTTCTTTCCTTCATGAATAATTTTCATGGTATCAAAACATTAGTTGGAGATCAATCCAAAAGGTTTTAGTTGAACTGTGCTACTGATTCTATTTCCTTCCCTTCTTGAATACCAAACACTACTTTTTTTTTTCCTTCTCGATTCTAATTCTCTCTTCTCCCTTTAATATCAGTTCTAAATCCTATTCTCCTTCCTTTATACTAATTTCTTTCTTATCTCCAATTTTATTATTTACAATCCCTAACCTCTCTTATATCATCTCAATTTCTTTCCACTTTTAATCAATATTATTCCACCTTATTCATTATCTCGAATTCGAATCTCAAACTTCCTTTATGCCTCGGATCTATTAGCGCTAATTCCACCCTTTGATTATCTGAAATCAATATATGGACTTAAACAGTCTCCTAGAACAAGGTTTAAAAAATTCAGTGAGGCTCTGCTGAAATTTGGGTTCATAAGGAGTAAAGTTAATCATACACTTTTTATAAAGACGGATATTGCTGGAATTAGTCCCCCTGTTGTGTATGTTTATTATATTGTTGTGACAAGGAATAATGTGAAGGGCACTGAAGATCTTAAATCTTATTTAAGCAAGGTGTTTGATATGAAAGATTTAAGACCCTTTAAGTATTTTTTGGGAATTGAAGTGGCGAGATCAAAGAAAGTAATAGTCATCTCCTAGAGAAAATATGTGTTGAATATCCCAACAAAGAAAATATGCGTAGCATATTCCAGAGAAAATATGTCTTGCATATCCCAGAGAAAGTATTTTTTGGGAATTGAAGTGGTGAGACCAAAGAAAGGGATAGTCGTCTCCAAGAGAAAATAGGTGTTTGATATTCCAAAAAAGGGGGATGTTGGGATCCAAAACTGCGAATACTCTATAAAGTCAATCATAATATTCATGGAGAAAGGGGAGAGCTAATCAAAAGATCTTAATCAGTATCAAGGAATAGTGGGCAAGCTTATATATCTCACAATCACTCGACTAGATATTTCTTATGCAGTTAGTGTGGTCAGCCAATTTATGCATGCACCACGTAACCGAACCTTGATGTGGTTAGAATATTAAGATGTCTCAAGTCTCCATCAGGGAAAGGGATATTTTTCTCCAATCAAGGACAACTTGATGTTGCAGTTTACACAAATGCTGATTGGGCTAATTGCCAAACTGAGAGAAGATCTACAACTGGCTATTGTACCTTCGTGTTGGGAAACCTGGTTCAAAAGCAAGAAGCAAAATGGTAGCAAGATCAAGTGCTGAAATAGAATACAGAGCAATGGCTCATAACACACGCGAAGTAATGTGGATTAAAAGTGTTCTTTTTTATTTAGGTGTTAGAGTTAACCTTTCCATGACTCTATCTTGTGACAATGAAGCAATCATTCATATTGCAGAATATCTTGTTTTTCTTGAAAGGACTAAACACATTGAAGTAGATTGTCACTTTATTAGAGAGAACGTTGTTGCCAAGTTCAAACTCCTCATGTGAAGTCTAAAGATCAACTTATAGATATCTTCATCAAAGTTATTGGACGGGACAGATTACTTGATATCACAAGCAAGCTGGGCATGATTGATATCCATGCACCAGCTTGAGGGGCAGTGTTGAAATAAAAGGAATAAGCTTTATTGTATTTGATGGACAGAACTGTCATTTATCTTTTGTTTAGTCCTACTTTTCCATATGTTTCAAAATAGGGGCAATATTGTCCATAAGTTACTTCATGTTATAAGAGGGGTAGAGGTCATAAGTGACCCCTAAGCCACTCACTTTCCCTTTATATCTCTCACAACTCTCTCCCTCTCTATCTTTATTTTCTTTCCACTCTTTCTCTCTAGATCCTACCAACTGTTTTCTTTTCTACTTTAATTTCAACTCTATGCACCATCTTGAGAGAGAGTGTCGCTAATCATGTTCTATAACAACCCAGTCGGAAGATAAAATATCAACAAGAATCTATGAGTCACAGTATACGCACCTGCCTTGTTTCTTTTGCATTGCAAATGAGCTCATCGAGACAATCATTGATAACTTTGAGGTCACTATGGAACTTCCGCTGACGTGGAACTATCCATCTTGCAAAAGGAAACTTCCAATAAGGAACATAGAAAGTGGAGCGATGTTCAGCTTCAAACAAAGTACCATAGACTGCCTGAAAATCACAAGATTCCCATGACATTCTAAAAACCATAAGCATTTGCACTAACAACAAAATTGCAAGGTACTTAAGTCAATGAGAGAAATCTCAATAAACAAAAAACAATTTCAAATGCATCCTAGACATGCTAATCCATTCATTTTATATAATTATACCCAAGCCGAACCATGTAAAATCAAAACAACAATGCAAGCAGGCAGAATTATCGAGATAAAAAACCCAATCACTTGTGTGATGAATATTTCATTACACCACCCTATATACGTAGTTTTGAATTTAGGCGTGGTACCAATAAGCGATAAAATGGGAGAGGGTAGACTTAAGTGGGATGGCAATGTGTAGCACGACCAAGTACAGTACTTGTTAGGAGGTGCGCGTTAGTTCAAGTGGAAGGACTGAAAAGGACAAGGGGTAGGCACAAAAGGACGTGGTTGGAAGTAGTCTAAAAAGATACGGGGACTTAGGGCCTCAGTGAGGATGTGGCCTTTAATAGAGCAGAATTGAGAACTACGACTCATGTAGCTGACCCCAATTAATTGAGAAAAGGCTAAAACGATGATGATGATATACATAATTTTAGGTCCTCAATCTAAATAGGTATTTTATATGACGGACTAAGTTCTCTCAAAATGAATTCAACAAGTCAGCTTTTAATGTCACGTGTTTCATATGAAACAATTGATGAAGCTCAATATATGGTGCAAGCAACCCATTAAGCAGGTTATAAAATTTAAGAAATGAATTTATAATACAACTGTAAACACCTTGATGATTGGTGATTCTTTTGTGACAGAGCCAAAGTCATAGTTGAAGACACCCAACCCAATAATGTCGAGAGCCAAGCTAGAAAACTCTGCTTCGAGATCCACCTTTAGATGCCCTTCAGGAGAATTTTCCATTTGATACATATTTTCCAGCTTCATCACCATGCTCTCTGAACATTTACTAAAAACCTTGACCATAGCTTCTAAAAACAATGCATGAAACCCAGGCACAATAGCTGAAACCAATGCAGAATAAAGGACAAGCATCAGATAAATGCGCACCCCAACACATATAACATCAGAATACTCCGAAAAATGAATAAAAAGAATATAAAGGAAAACAAGCACATTCAAAAATTTACAATTATCAATTCTAACTTCTACTAATCTTAGAGAACTTCCCACATTGGCAGAACATGAGCCATAACAGTTAGAAAGAAATGGCAGATAAAATACATGGAGATAATAGAATAATAGCGTGGACAATTTACTAACCGGGATTCATCTCATATAAACCACCAGTTAATTCTTGTTAAACAAACTCCAAGGATTATTCACAGTATACTCTACCAGATTTATCTCTCTGTTTCCCGTTTGCTCAAGTATGTAAAAGCAGCGATAAACAGTTACTCCTTGTGCTGTATGTTGTATCTCATTTCTTTTCTGTTCGTTATATAAGGATAGGACCCTTGTGCTGTGTGTTGTATCTCATTTCTTTTCAGTTTGTTATATCAAATCTAGTGATGCCAACACGGCGTGCCTCACTCATAGCCTGCTAAATCCTCTCAAAGCGCTTTTCTACTTTAGTGATCCATTTGAAAGAACCCTTCTTCAAACAATCAATGAGTGGTGTTATGGTGGTGTTGAATCCTCTAACGAACCATCGGTAAAAATTGGCCAGCCCATGGAAACTGCACACATCATAGAATGATATAGAGATGAGCCATTCTCTTAATGTTGTGACATTTTGCTCATCCATCTTGATTCCCTCAGCAGAAACCACAAAACATAAGAAAATCAAACTGCCGGTCATAAATTCACAGTTCTTCAAATATGCACATAACTGATTGTCTTGCTCGGACACCAAGAACGTGGTATAATACTGTGCTATAGTATCATCTTTACTGATTGTCTTGCCTTGATATTAAATTGAAGATAAAGGAGAGAAGAAAACAATTTGGTAGGATTTAGAGAGAGAACGAGAGGAAAGAAAATAAATATGATGAAGAAGAAGGCAGAGAGAGATACAGAGGCAAAGTGAGTGGCTTAGAGGTCACTTGTGATCTCTACCTCTCTTACAACAGTTAGTCAGGATTCATGATGGGTTTTACAAAATTTTACATTAGCTGCCTACTTAACACAACCATGCCCTTTACCTAGCCACAGGATGGGTTAAAGGAAAGTTTAAGGTCATCACCATTCTTAGATCATCTTATAACATTAAGAAATAAACCTAACTATAACTTATGAACAATACTGCCCTGATTTAGACACTTAAGACAAATAAGGACTAAACAAAAATAAATGGCAGTTTTGTCCATCAAATCCAATAAAGCTTATTCCTTTTATTTTCAAAACAGGAGCTGTGACCCACAGTAATTCGCAGGGGCTCCTGATTGGCACCTAAAAGCTGGCTAATAAAAAATGGAGTAAAGGCCTAATATGTGGATTACAAGTTCCCCTTGAGAGCAAGTCACATGCACGTATCACTATAATGCAAGGGAGAATCTCTTTATGTACATACACATGTCTCTCTTTGAAGGTTGCTTCCCAGAATACAGCTATCATATGCATATGCCATACGGAAGTTTGTTGAGGAATTAGCTCTTGCTCTCACAGGCCCACATCGCACAAAGGAATCCTGGTGGCTTCTGGGCCTACAAACATTGTCCCTAGGCATCTTTTCGACTTCAACAAGGATTGACCATCTAGAAACCCTCAATGGTAGCTCCTATGCTTAGGGAAAAGGGTTTGAACATGACCCAAGCCATAGAGCGCCTAACCCTAGGCCAATCAACTAGAACAACATACACTAATCAAGTGCATATCATTATTTTTTTATTTTTACATGCACTCATGGGCTTTAAAGGCCACAAACCTCAAACCGTGTTGCATGGACTCCATAACCGTGGGGTCCACGTGACACCTAGCAATACTCATGTAGCGCACATTGTCTATTGAAAGAATGGCTCACATGGCGTCCAAACATACCCAATAATTTCCTCAAAAAAATATTTCCATAAAAAGACTAATGTTATTCCAAAAATAAGCTAAGTTGGGAACAACATTAATTCCCAGAAATAGCCTTCTTCAATTTAACGATTCTAAAACAATTACAAATAATTGAGGTGATTAATTTTAGAAAATAAAACCTATTTTAATTTTCTCCAAAAACCCCTGAAAAGCCTTCAAAAGTATCATTAAAATAGTAGCAGACCAAGGGATAATTATGTAACTAGGCACTCCCTACATAACTCTATAATTACAATCATGAACCTCAAAACAACCTAACAAACCCATGACCTACATGTCTAAAATGAAGGGGCTATTGATTGGCCAATCAAAGGTTGCCAAGGCATGGATGAACTACAAATTACCACAAATGTGTCTCCCCAAGGAGAAGCACAACCTTCGCAGACAAGCATCATCTCAGTGTGGGGAATCCGCTAAAAAAACCATATGAACACGTAAGCCCATAAACCTATCCTAGGTTCGTCTATGCTAAGATAATACCCACCACTTCACTAAAACCGACTTCAACAAGGTACTCATAAACCCTTTCTGGCAATCTATGCAAGAACTCAAGCCTCCAACTCAAACGAACAAGTCCACTAATTGGAACCAAAACCTAGCCGTAGATCAAGGTGAGGGTGATAGAACCTTCTCGACTACCCATAGAGCCTAATTGCAAATGGCACTCATTCCAAAGCTCCTCTATGTCCCACAAAGCCCAGTCTAAATCACGGAGTCTTACTCACATAGCATGTTTCATCCATGGAGCCAAATACTCCTTCACAGACCACATTCCACTCCACTCAATAACGTGATCATGCACCTCAATCCAGAGTATCCCACATGGGAATACAGGAGCTAATGCCTTGGAAGGCCAAAAATCCCAACAAAATGAAGCTCTACACCTTGAACAATTGTTCAACATTCAACTTAGAAACTGAAAATGTCATTGCACATAGCCCCTTAAATAAACCCTGCAAACTTCCTCTCCAAGGTTTCTTTTTGCCAAAATACATATTCTATTTGTTTGTCAACTTAATATGGGTATTTTCTAACAACCCAAAAATAAAATAATAACAATAATACTAGCATGGGTATTTCCTTACTCATGGTGAAAGAAACCTACCCACGCAACCCTAAAACCCACACACCAATTCCCCAAACTGCATGCTACCAATGCAACAACACAATTCCCAAAATCATAGACACATTGCAAAAAGATGCATGTACTGTTTCCCAAGAAAGCACGCACCCACACAAAAATTTCCAAAGATAAGTAAGTTTAGGAGTTGTGCATCCACCACCATCATTTACAACGTCCTCTAAAATCTCCAAGACACCAGAAAGCAATGCCAATTTGTCTTTAGTGATTAGATCTTGCCCTGATTGTTCTCCCTTTTATGGATTATGTTAGGATAGTAGTGATGGCTGATGCACCGTGGAAAACCTAACAGACTGTCGATAGCTTGAACGCACAGTCGATAGTCTCAACACACGACCGAGAGCTTGAACTCACGGTTGATAGCTTGAACGCACGCTCAATAGCTTAAACTCACGGTCGAAAGCTTGAACGCACAACCGATAGCTTGAACTCACGGTCGATAGCTTGAACGCATGACCGATAGCTTGAACTCACGGTCGATAGCTTGAACGCACGACCGATAGCTTGAACTCATGTCTGATAGCATGAACACATGACCGATAGCTTGAACACACGACTGATAGCTTGAACTCCTGCTCGATAAATTTCACTGCCACCTCATAAATGGAACTTACGCTCGATAAGCCTTGCCCTAACTTGAACAGACGACCGATAGCTTGAACACACGTCCGATAGCTTGAACACACGACTGATAGCTTGAACAAATGACCAATAGCTTGAACTCACGCTCGATAAATCTGACTACCACCTCATAAGTGGAACGTATGCTTGATAAGTCTTGCACTAACTCTCATCCAGGGAAAAATTCGATAACACCTCCTATAGACCGTGATAAAGCTTGGATTGTACCAGAACGCTCCTAGTACCAGTTGGACTCCCATAGGAGTCAGAATCTAGATTCGGAGGTCATATGTGGAAAAACAAAACACTCCTAGTATCAGTTAGACTCCCGTAGGAGTCGGAATCTAAATTTAGAGGTTATACAATGGGGCAACAAAGATCGGGATCTGGAGGCATGAGTGGAGCTCGCTTTCTTCAAAGTATTGATCACACCCTACCCGATACAAAACCGAGATGCAATAGGGTATCTGGTGAACACACCCCACGATACAACCAAATCATAAACAATCAGAGTTTTTGAGTTGCATGCTCAGAAAACTGTCAAAAAACATAACAATTAAATTGATCTTACTTAAAGAAAATGAAACATCAAGAAGATATTCTATGAGTTCATTGTTCTTGGAAAATACCTCAAATCCCTCTTCAAAATGTTGTTGGAAATTGCCATTAACCTCACTCCCATGACTCTCCCAAATTCATACATCTCCATATTCATTCTCTCCCTTGCCCCAGTCTAATATAAAAGAGAAATAATATAATATAGGGAGGGTAGAGAAGTGGCAACAAAAGAGAGAGACACATAGAGAATGTGTAATGCCAAGTGCATGGACTCTTGTCCCCCATGAGGTCACGGAGGTGAGGTAATCATGACCAAGCAACAAATTAAAAAACAAATAAGACAAAACAAAAAAGGAGGGAGGAAGATGTGGTTGTCCATGCATACCAAAAGAGCATGATGGACCATCACCAATATTAACTTTAAAAAGGATTTTGAAACTCCAAAAGTTTTTAAATAAAAATTAACAGATTATCTTCTCATTTTCATCTCAGTAAAATACACACATGCACAATATGTGTGTGTGTTTGCATGTGCGACTATATGTATATATATGGGAAAAGATGTTGTTAGCCCACTAGCTGATAGCTACAGTGTTAGCCCAATGGCTCTGATTGAATCTAGGCTGATCTGACAGACACGACCTCATTTCGTAATATAGTTTTAATTTTATTTCTATAAATCCAAATCACATGAAATTGCAGGCGTCCATTCTTCTCATCAAGGCGAACCTAATAAAAATATTAAAATTAATTCAAAAAATAAATTGACCAAAATACCCCTAAAATGTTTTGGGGGCATTTTCGTTAATTATTTTTTGTGAATTATTTTATTGATACTTTTATTAAGTTCTCCTATTTTTAAAGAATAAACATTCAAAATTTTAAGTGATTTGAATTTGTAAGAAAAAATTTAAAATTCAAATACGAAATGCAATTGTAACCATTGGATTGGGCCAGATTCAATCTAGCCATTGGGCTTACACTGTAGCTGTTAACTAGTGGGCTAACCTCATATTCTCCCTATATATATATATAGATTGCTTAACTCTTTTATTTTAATTAATTAGATTTAGGTTTATTATTCTATTTAGTATTATAGATATGGATAGCTTTTATTCTATTAATATCTATGTCTATCAATATCTATTAATATTATATTCATAATGGTATTCATGTTTTAGCATTTATTTTATATATATTTCCTATTAATTTCGATTCTTTTTCTTTAGATTATAGATTATATAGAATTCTAATATATGTATATAGATAGAGAGAGAGAGAGAGAGAGAGAGAGAGAGAGAGAGAGAAATAAGAAAAAGAGACAAAGAGAGAGATTTGTCTGCATTAGACATGGATAGACTTGGGTTCTGCGTAGGGTACATAGCAGAATCTTCTTATTTCCCATCTTAAAAAGATAAACAAGAAATTTTACAAACGCCCTGCTGATTTTTTAAACACCTTAATTACCCAAATTTCTCATAACCCATATCCCCTTGTAACTGATTTGGAGTTGGTCCGCCAAGCATATCAGTTGTGATAGTTATGACCATATATCAAAATCCAAAGAGGTGGTTCCATTAGGTTAAGACTTCTCTGAGTATATCATCTACTTTTAGCTCATCTCTCCAGCCCTTAATTTTCTTCCCTCCCATGGTTCCCTAATTTATCATCTCCTTCTAGTTCACCAATACTTCTTGTAGTTTCCTCTCTCCACTCTTCCATGGTCTCTTTTATTTTCTTTCTTTTGTGTTTCCCTTCTCATTCCTCTCTTTCTTTCGCACCCACAGTCTTCCTCTGTTGCTTCTGTCCTTTCCCTTCCTCTTGCCCTTGTTCCTTGAGTTTCTCTTCTACCAACTCTCAAACAAAAGGACAAAGGATATCTTTCCCATTATCTCTACCTTACAGGGAAAATATTCTAGTGTCTTCAGTCTCTCAGGTTCGCTCTAGCTATCAAGTAGAGTTGGACGAATCTAATTAATTGCATTAAAAAAACAAGCTTCATGTGTTTGTCACATCCAAGAACATCGTAGTTTCACTATGGCACCCACCCAGTAACTCCTGGGCTTTGTGATCCAAAGATTGATGCTTCACTTCTGAAAATAAGTCTGCCAAAAACAACAGAAAATTGCCAATAAGCTTCTTCCTGGGTGTCAAATGCCTCTTTAATATAGCACGAGTTAGAAATAAACGAATCCCTTGAAGGGTGAGATTCACGAAAAAACTCGTCCACTCAACTGTTATGAGCTGTCATATTGCAGCGGATCATCCTTTCATTAAGGATGAAGTATATACAGAGAGAACGAAATTCATGAGTGAAAAAGCCTAATAATGTGCACATCCTGCATCACGACAAAACCAGTAGTTTTAACGAGAAAAAAAAAACCACAAAGTCATCACATGCATAAACAGTTTTCAGCAATTAATTTTTATACTTTCACCTACTAGTAATGGCCGAATAGACCAACAGTATTTGTTTTCATATTTCTATTAAACAGGAACAACCTAGTTGTTTTTTTCTTATTTCTCCACATCTAATTCACTAATCGTACATAAAAGAATGTCAAAAACTTATCTGCAGCACCAAATGGAAATGCAGATTCAAATCAGGTATTTCTAAAACTATAGTACTTAGGTTAGTTTTCAAATACACAGAAGCTAGGTAATTACGAAATTCTTTTCGAGTAATATAAAGACTTGAAACTTCAAAGCATAAAAAAGTGGCAATGTGTAATGTTACTCTAGTAACCTCTCCTCCTCTTCTTCCAAGTCTGAAGATCTGCAGGTATAAGTCCTTTTCCCATTATCGGCTCTAGGATATCTGCAAGGACTCCCTAAAATTATCGATTAGTTAGACAGGAAGTTGGATTAAGTGCCCAAAGTAATTTTACCCAATAAAACTATACAAAAATCATTATAAACAACTAACTAATGTAAAGAACAATGGAAAATCTTTGATACATGCACAATTTACAAAAGGCAACTTGTTTTATAATAGATTTGGAAATAAGAAACTCATTAAGATAGGCTTGAACCCATATACAAGTGCATCATGTTATAATGAAAGGGAGATGAAGGTCTATCCATGATCAAAGCCAGAATCTTAAAAATTAAACTTGAGCAATACATGGTGCAAACCAATTTTTTTCATATTCTTCGGATACTCATTAAGATAGGAACGAATCCTTATAAAATTAGTGTATCATGCCATAATGAATGAGATGAAGGTCAATCCGCAATCAGAGCCAGAGTCTGAAAAACTTAAACACAAGCAATACATAGTGCAAACCAAGTTGACTAGCAAATTGGTGATTTTCGTCATATTCTTTCTAATAAAAATAATGGAAAAGGTAAAGAAAAGAAACCATAAAATGTGAGCAACTAGAATATTAGAAATTATTTTTGTGCTCCCTCCCTTCCTCTTTCCCAATGAAACTATTTGCATGTCTTCCAAAAAAGAAGGGTAGTAAATAATGTTTAATATCTGCTTCTGAATCATATCTGTTGAATGATGAGATAGCGAGAGAGGTCCTCATCTCTGAATTTAGAGATTAGAAAACAATAAAGAAAACTAATGGGAAACATGTACAAAACAAAGGGGATTGTGTGGCACAGAAAGGGAGAAACATAAGAAATAAACCAGCATAATGGGGAACCTCGATTGAAGAAAGAGCCATGAGCATGGAAGATAGGAAGTACAAATATGCTCCATAGAGCAAGAATATCATTTAGATAATCAAAGACGTTCAAGCAGAAACAGAATGAGCGAAATGCAAACAGTAAGGAACTGGTCATGTGGTTTCTGTGATACTTTGGAAAATCTCAAACAGCTAAGCGTTTAAGCAATCAAAAATAATCTAAAAATGGAATGAGACATCTTCGCTAAATTTGGAAAAGAATGAGTAGGAAGGAACGTGGGGCAGAGGAATCGACGAGGAATCAAAGAAAGAGCTATGGAAAAAGTGTAAGCGTGACGTGGTATGTATAGCAAAAATGAAATGTTTGCAGTTGTTCATTCTCCATTGTTCTCATCTGTGGTGAAGGGAGACTTGACTTGGTGACTACTCTGGAAAAGGAAAGTGATCAAGCTGTCACCGTAACAGCTGAAACATTGAGGGAGGAAAGGGAGGGCGGGCACATCAATTGCCTTCTCTCTTTCCTCAGGTAAACCATCACCAGCCTACTCGAATTCCTGCGGCCTCCTCTTTCCTTTCCAGCAGCCTTTTCTTTAGTATTGGAGGACTCAATCAGCCACTTCACATCCTTGTGCAACCGGCTCCAAATACAACCTCCCGAACTGGAATACCCCCCTTCGTAGACTGTCCCAAGCCTCCAGCCATACACTACTTCGAATGGCGCCCTCTTATAGAATCAGTCTGGGACGGAAAGATTCGAACCTCTAAGTAACAGGATCAAAACCTGTTGCCTTATTGCTTGGCCGCACCCCATTTCTCGACTCAGTATTGGTTGTTCGCCAATCGAGCCCGCCTGGATATCTATGGAATATATCATAAAAACCAGGTAATGTTGCTAAATAATAGAAATGGATTAAGCATATCTCTAGATTTTTTGGGAACAAAATTGATGCAGGAACGAAAGTTGGGAAATTAACTCCACCTTTTTCCAGAACCTCAAACAGTTAAAAATCTTCTCAAAACTCAAACAAGTAAAATCAAGCCAAGAGAAGAAGTTTATTATTTTATAAAATAAAATTCATTCCAATAACATTAGCATTCTATAATGTGACATCCCACCATTTATAAGCCTATGAAACCCTTAACATAGCTTGAGAATATTAACTCGGGAATAGTATTGTGAATGTACGCGTGAATATTAAAAATAGAAAAGTAGAAATTAAGTGCTGGAGATTAACCCCGCACTACAATTCCTTAAAAAAAAAGTACACCCACTTCCATGAAATTAAAAAACCATAAATTCAATTTTTGAATCACACAGCTCTAGATCTCTATCATTCTCCCCTGGTTGGGGTTTCACCTCCTCGAGACCATAATCTGGTATGTGTTCCACAACCACAGCAACTACCCCTTGGTGACTTCATTTTGCTTCAAAACACCCCCCTAAAAACAACTACTTGTATTTTTTATTACTTTTTATTTCCTTCTAGGGACATGGATGGATTTTCATTCATTTTTATTGGTTAATTTAGGAATTGAATTTTCATTTATTTTCATTGGTTAGTTTAAGGATATTCTTTGACACCATTCACAATAAATTACTGATTTACAAAAGTTCAAGAAGAAGAATGAGCCAGGGAAGAGAGGGAAAGAGGCGAGGCAAGGTTTTAGCCGAGAGAGAGAGTGAGAGAGAGTTGAATAGAAGGGCGCAAGTGATGATAAGAGAGAGAGAGAGAGAGATGTTAGAAATAGAAGAAGGATAATGCTTTACAGAGAGAGAGAAGGGTCAGGAGTCAAAACTAAGTTCAGAGTGTGAAAGGGCGTGCTTCGTGATAGAGAAACAAGAAAAACAGTCTAAAGTGTGTGGTTGAGGGATGAAATAAAGACTGCCCTAAAGAGAGAGTGGAAAAGAAGGAGTGAGCTAAAACCAAAAAATAAGAAACTAATAAAACAAAAAACTAAAAGAGATCAAGGTCCACAGAATTGGTGGGACAACACTAGCAACAGCATCCTCCTCAGCTAGCGCATCTGCACTGCATTGGCCTCCCACCAGATATGATGAAATACAACTGGAAGAAACCTGTAACTATGGAAAATCTGATTAAAGATTTGAGAGAGACACCAATGACATTAAGACTTCCTTTCAGTCCATTTATTGTTAAGAGTCCTTGTCCACATCAAGGTTCCACCCCAAGAGTTGGTCAAACATTAAGAGAACTTCCAAAGTTGCCTGAGCCACTGTCCATGTGGAGTTGGCAGTGCCAAGAGGACATCAAAAAGAGGACAGAGTATTTGCTTCCGAATCCAAAAGATTCCCCAGAAGCCATAAGGTCAAGGGTTAGCAAGGGAGCAGCCATTGGAATTATGTTTAACTATGCCCGGCATTGAGAGGAACCAGACACGCTTGGGGCTAGTAATGGGCCAACTAGCCAGGGCTGGCCCTGAAAAACGACGGCATAGGCAACAAAATGGGGCCTGAGGACAAGGGCTAGGCCTAGGCCATGACAGGGCCAGCCTGCCATGAACTCTTTTTTTTCCTTTGTTTTTTTCCTTTTTTCATTAGGTTTATTGGGCCCGGCCCACCCTGACAAGCCCAGGGATGGGCCTAAGCCAAGGCCTCTTTAGCCTTGTTCGGGCAGGACCAAGCTCAGGCTGGTCCTATAGAGACCAGGCCAGACTAAGGCGAGGAACATGGCTCGCCCAGCCTTTTGCCAACCCTAACAACAGTAACGATCGAGGAGGTCTAGGAGGTTTGTGCGAGATGATCTCCTTCCAATGAGTTAAGAAGTCCGATTTTGAAAAATCCTCAAGTTTCTTATGGTTTGGCACCAGAAAATGAGGAGGAGCGATCTGAAATGTATGAGATAAACCTCTATTGACCATTAGAGATACCAAAGTTTCTCTCCTTCCACATCGTCCCAAGTGTGGAAGGGGACATGGCTCTCCATAGGAAGAGATTGGCATTGGGATAAGAGCAGCGTGAAGGAGGTAAAAAGTTGTGTCAGGGACATGAGCATAACCCATTGCCTGCTTAAATACCCCAAATTTGTAACCCCAAGGACCGCAGCAAAGAGATAGTGAATGAATAGATCACTATGTGTTTCTTTAGCCAAAGGCTAGGATTCTCGAAGGAGGGGAGCAATCCAATCTTTGTTGAGAGGAGAAGGATTTGCAAGGGTGGTAGATAAATCTTTATAGGAGAAGGATTTGCACAGGTGGTTAATTGAAGGATTAAACGCATAAGAGGATTACTTTGGATTCTAATTTATTGCAATAGGACAGAGTAGGAAAATCTTTATTTCCTTACTTCTAGGACTTTTTAGGAATCCTATGTTAAAATAAGTTTCTTTATTGATGGGATTTGGTAGAGAAACAAGGATAATTAGCGGATTCATGTGGGAGTTCTAAAAGGAAGGAGTATCAGGGAGGCATTTGAAAGGCAAAGGAGAGGAATACAAAAATTAAAAATTAAAGAAAAAGTGTGGTCAAGAGAAAAGGGGAGTTTTAGTCTATAAATAAGGAACTCACTAGAGATGAGTCTTTTTGAGTTAAAGATACAATTGTAGTTCTAGTCTAGCCAGTGCAGAGCCATTGAAGCCTGGCTTGTAGGCTTCCTCATTAATTTTCCATTAGATAGAATCGTTTTTTTTTTTTTCCGTTCTTTTCACTGCATAAAAGGAAACTCTACGAGCACAAGAATATATGTGGATAAATGCCAATGCAAAAGTAGGACACACAACAAATATCGAAAAATGACATGTTATTTTTAAGTGCATCCATAGCACATGTAATAGTACATGATCAATAGTTCTTGAACATGCAAATATTTATTCATACCTCACAAGAGCCACACAAACAGCTAGGAACACTGGATTGAAACTCAAGTACCAAGAAGCATTGGAAAGTGAAGAGTACTGAAAAGGGAGAAGATGAAATAGATAGCATGTAAAAACTAATAATTGAATAACAATGAGGAATTACCTTGTCATAGTTAAACGCATTTTCCCGAAGGATATGCCGGGCAACAATAGGATCTGATACAACAATGAACGATTTTGGTCCAAAAGCGAGTTTGTAGACAGCACCATGCTGGTAAAACAACACAACATACAAAATTGGCTCATTTACATCACACTTGTAAATCTTCATACTCGAGTGCCTAGATCATTATTTCCTTAATAAGTTTTGAGAACAAATAAGACAAGAATCTCAATCTTCAAGCAATGAAGTCTTTCGGAGAGTAACATCCCTATGGCACGGTTTCCGTTACAGAAGGAGGATAAGTTCCCATTTCACTAAGGGTAAGAAAAAAGACTATTGATAAATATCAGTATCTTTTATACTTTTCCTCAGTATCTTCTATAGAAAAATTCAGACCATACAAGAAAAATATCCATTTTGAAGTCCAAAATTATGTGAACCATCACCAGTGTAAAAAATTCAATAAAACAATCTGATACTTATATTGCATCAACTTCAGTATATTATGCTGCATAAGCCATCTCAGATAGAACAAGAAGACATCACACTACAAAGAAGAAAATCTTGGATAAGAAGTATTTCTTGTGACAATGCATGTAACTCATCAGCACCAATTCATTACATAAAGCAAGGAAATAATTGGAGTAAAACTGTAGATACTGAAAAGAGTCGAAAAGAAATTGTGAAGATAGTGGAGCACAAGAAACAAAAGAAACCACCACTTCCTGAGATGGATTTTCACCTCAAAAACTAGGAAAGCATTATAAATCGGTTGAAAGCTCCACGTTGTTATTTTTTTCATGTTCTCTAAAGCAGCGCATTTAGTTCTAGTCGTGATTTATGTCATATTCCCAGAACCATCATTTCCGAAGCCCGTATAAGTGTCAATGTTCAAAGTGATTCACCGTATAAGTGTCAATGTTCAAAGTGATTCACAAAATACTTGTACGTGTACAAATCATTATCCATTCATTGGACACTATGAAATTCATCATGTCTAACTTAATTCTCAATGCTAGCATATAAGCAATATTAAAAGATCTCATTCTATGAAAAAAATAAAAGCAACACATTTCATCATCATCATCATCATCATTTTAGCCTTTTCCCAATTAATTAGAAATGCAACACATTTATATCAAAAAAAAAAACATATGAACAATTACACAATTGCCTATTCATATTCATGTGAACCATGTCAATGCTTTGTCCGATCGATGTCTGATAACTCCAAGATCTGTAGGAAACAAATGGACAAGAATTGCAACCATGAATTCTCTTGTTTTCCTACCCTTTAATCAGAATAATGTTTTACCACATTCCAAACAAGGACCAAGTTCAAGTTATATGGATCAGTGTTCTCTCAGAAGTCATAACCATTCAAAGTACACATCAAAATAATCATTACATTCTAGTATGGGATGTGCATAGCTCACTTCTTTCTGCGAAATTGTAAAATATTCAGTATATTTCATTTCATGAAGTAGTCTTTTCACCTTCCAGGCATCAATAACAATCGAGACAGGTGTGACTTCTAAATTTTTTATCATAAACATGAGGAAGAGACTCAAAATAATGACTAGATAAGTTGGCCAAAACAAGTCAAAGATTATTCAGCTTGCGAAGGAAATTAATTACATTATTCTGTCCAATGATGAAAAAGTCGACCACCCGGCCACCTAGGCAGATTTGGGGGCCTACCTAGTGCCAACCCCTTTAAAATAAAAAAATAAAAAAAATAAAAAGAGTTAAGGCCTCTCTCTCTCTCTC